TGTATGCTGAGCAAATTATCTGAGAAGTTGGACTCTATGAAGAAGGATGTGACATCAACGTCAGAGGAAAACTCATCAATAACCTGAATTATGCAGATGACACAGCCTTACTTGCTGAAACTGAGAACTTGAAGCCCTTGTTGCAGAACATCAAAGAACATAGCCTTCAATACGGATTGCATCTTGACGTTAAGAAAACAAAAATTCTTACCACTGGACTGATATATAGCATCGTGATATATAGAGAAAAGATTGAAAATGTGAACAACTTCATCTTACGTGTATCCACAATCAACCGTCTTGGTACCAGCCATCAAGAAATCAGGAGACATATTGCATTAGGAACGTCTATAGTTAGGGACCTCTCCATATTTTTGAGGAATAATAATGTTAGTTTGAGAACTACAGTGCATCTGATTCAGAGCATGGTCTTTGTGATCATTTGCTGTGTATCTGAGAGCTTCACAATGAATAAGAATTACAGAAGAATTACTCCCTTTGAGCTGGGCATTGGAAAAGATTACTGAACATCGCATGGACTGCCAAAAGAACAAACACATATGTCTTGGAGAAAGTGCAGCCAGAGTGCTCTGGAGGCAAAAATGATAAAGCTTTGCCTCACATACTTTGGAGATATTCCTTGGTTAGGGACATGAGGCCCAGAAAGGCAGATAGTCAACAAGGGGAAGGAAACTCAACCTGTTGGATTGATGCAGTGACTGCCAAAGTGAGCTCTAGTGTATGAGGATGGCACAGAATAAGACACAGTTCAGATCTTGTTCATAGGGTCATTCTACTCAATGATATCTAACAATAACAAACTCGTTAGCTATAGTTTTTTCTTTCAATTCTTTCTACCGTCTTTGGCATTTTGGTCAGTATTTGTTGAAGTTCCTCTTAATTGTTATATTTCTTTTAGTTCCCTGTCTCTGGAGTATTGCTTTCTTAATGTCTTCCATTGTTTCTTCCATCATTTACACCTTTTTTCTATATCTGTTCAAATAACTCTGCATCCATATATTTCTTCTGGTTCTCTGCCTCTAGAGTATTCTCTTTATTTCTGGATTCTGCTGTCTCTTCCATCATTTGTACCTTCTTCCATAGCTGCTTAAATGCTTCCTATCAATATGTATTTTTTGCCTTCCTGACTCCAAGATATCTGGGTCTGCAATATGGTCTGCTTTTTTTAAAAGATGGCTTAATTTTTTCACGGTGTTTAAGCAAAACTGCTGCTTTCTAAACATTATGTAAAGCTTTTTTATTTTATTTTTTTTTTAAATATCGGGCCTTTTTATTGTGCTTGCCTAAGTTTATTATAGTACTTACCTTTATGATGTTATCAATTTTTAATTAATTGATAACATAATAAAAATTGTCAGCTTAAAATGTTCAATCTATGGGGTGGATCACTCAATCTACTGGAAGTTCTGCCACACTCTACTGGAAAGTTTGCCTTTCCTAAAGTCCTTCATGTTCTCTCTGGTCTGTAATGTAGCCCTTCAGGAATCTCACCTTATTGTAGTCCCCTTTCCAAACTCTATTGTCTCCTTTATCTGCAGATTGACTGAATTGTGTGAGACCAGGTTCTCCACTTAAACAGTTTCTGTCCAGGGAGTTTTGAAGGCAGCTATTTCTCTAGCACCTCAGTATGCTAGCTGAGAAAAGTAGTCTCTCCCCTACTTGTAGCTCCCTGTCCCATACTCTATTGTCCTATTTGGTTTTTTTGATGGCCCTGTGACAACGGGGATCCCCTAATGGAGGAGCCTTTCTCCAGATGAGTTTCACTTCCTTCTCCTTGATTTTTTTTTTAAATATTATGCGTTTGAAAGGATACATTTTTTTTAAGAAAAGTAGAGACTTCTTTGGAAAGAGTTGTTAATTTACCTTTAAATTGAGAATTTTGAAGGTTTCTGTTCCTGTTATTGCAAAAAAAATTAGTAGTGATATTTTTAATTCCTTTTGCTGAAGCCCAATGAGGAACCTAAATGAAATGAAGAATGTTTGGATATTGTTCCTTGCAATTGGGATATTCAGGAGACTTGAGAGGACTTGCCACATTCATACTACCCAGTCTTTTTGAATTGATAGGGACAGAGGATTCAAGAGTACTTATGATAAACTGGGCCTCCATAAAAAAATAATAATCTTATATATGGTATAGTGGCAAGAAGCTGCTTTGCAATCTCAAAGGCACACAGCTCAAGGCCAAGAGCTGATCTGTGGGAGAAGGATGGACAATCTCTTTTCTCCAGAGCTTCAGCTATGGGTCAGTTCGAACTTGACAGTGCACAGCAACAATATGTAGTTATCTTGGGTTATTTCCAAAAGAGACATCTCAAGAGCCAAAAAAGCTTTCAAGAACAACAAATTATGTATTGACAGTAGACATTAGAACTAGTGTCTATTGGTCTTGGAAGAAGTTGGAGTGGATCACCAAGAATAAATAATTTTTTTTATTTAGATGCCATTAGGATGACTAAGATATAAACTTGAGATGAGAGAAAGACTAAAGATGTGAGATAGACAAGCATCATGGAGGACATGAAACCATATTAAAAAGTTTAAATTATATCCTGTTGTATTTGGAAAACTGGAAAGACCTGGTGGTACATTGGTTAAGCACTTGGCTACAAATAAAAAAGTCAGTGATTCAAACTTACCATCTATTCCTGCAGAGAAGCATGTGGCAATCTGCTTTTATAAAAATTGAAAACTTGGAAACTTTATAAGGCAATTCTACTCTGTCTTTTGTAGTTAGTATGGGTAAAAATCAACTCAATGTCAATAATTCATAAACTATCATGGAAAATAAGCAGGGGATTTTCAAGGGAAAAAAGTTAAAATACTGCAGCCTGATTTACAAGTCATGATGATAATTTTTCAAAATAATTTACAATTGGATGACACAACTTTATTGGAATATAAACTCCAAGGAGGAACACCCTCTGGTTTTCTCAATATTACCTTTTCAGGATCTGCTTGCTATACAGTAATGTGTCCTTTTTCATAAGGGAATTCTGAAATACTGTTTTTACCTATTGAGGATAAACTTGGGAATAATCTATTCAATATTTTTAGTCTTGAGTTATGTCAATCCTTGTGTCAAGACTGGTTTTGTGTAAGGTACACAGATGTTAATAGATATTAAATGTGTGAGATCTTCTGTAAGAATTTTATAAGAGGGTAGCTGATACTTCCTTGAAGGTGCTGATGGAATAGACATGAATACCAGTGGGATAACTTTTGATCATATAATAAGATCAGAGATTGAAAGTTTTGATCATTGGGCTTTTTTTAAAAAATTATTTAATCTTTCTATTTTGCCAGATGACTGGGTGTGAGTTAGGCAATGCAAATATTGCTGAATAGGCAGAATATGATGTAGTTTCTGTTAAGTGGTCTCTGGATTTTTCATAGGACACATTCCAGGGAGGAAATTTTTGTTCTTCACAATATTTTTACCATTGTGACAGCAAATACCTTGTTTGTTGTCTCCTTAGCTTACCCTCAGAACTGATTTTGATTGGTTTGTATTTAGAAACCCAAATTTAAAGATTTGTATTGTAATTCTATATAAATTTTAAATTATTAAAGTTATTATTTTAAATTTTTTTAAGAGTTAGTACTGCTTCAACAGAATGTAGAAAATATTAGACAATATCATTGTCAATTAAAATCATACTGAAGACTATTTTAAAATGACTGCCACAGTTATATGGACAAAGAATTGCCAGAAATTCAAGCTGGAATCAAAAGAGGCTATGACACAAAGTATATTATTGCTGATACTAATCAGATAGATTTTGACTAAAACCAAAGAATACCAGAAAGATGTTTACTTGTATTTTATCGACAATACAAAGGCATTTGACTGTCTGGATCATAACAAATTATGGTCAACATTGAGAAGAATGAGAATCTCAGATCACTTACTTGTGCTCATGGTCTATATTTAGACCAAGATGCAGTTGTCTGAACAGACCAAAGGAACATTGTGTGGTTTAAATCAGGAAAATTATCCATCAGGATTGTATCTTTTCTCCACACCTATTCAATCTGTGTGTTGAGCAAACAATTACAGGAACTAGACTGTATGAAGAAGAATGTTTGTAGGACCAGGATTTGAGGAAGCTCATCAACAACCTGTGTTTTGAGATGACACAAACTTGCTTGCAGAAAGTGAAGAAGATTTTAAGTAAGATCAAAGAGTACAACCTTCAATATAGATTATTTCTCAATATCAAAACAGCAAACATCTTTGCTAACTTAAAAGTTTGAATACACCAGTTTGAATACACTTTACCGCTGAAAGGGCACAATCTCTCCTTTACAGCCTCAGAAACCCGATTCAATGGTGATGGTGTTATTGTTAAATGCTATCGAGTTGTAGGCGACTTATAGCGACCCTATGAACTTTCTTCATTTATCCAAGTTCATAGAATTTCCAGAGGCAAGGTTTTTTGGAAGCGGATGCCACTCCTGCTTCCAAGCTTAGTTGAGGAACTCCATCAAACACTGCCTGTCATGAGTGACCAATATCGCTTTTGGCACATAAGGGTCACAGTGTTCAGCATCACAACCACCACGAATTATCTCAGTACAGCAAATCAACAGAGCAGTGCTATACCACCTAGAAGAATGTTTGACCAAAAACAATTAAAAACAGGCCTGAAGGACACATTAATTCTGACTTGACAGCAGTGTGTCAGAAAGAGAAAGAAAGTGAGCCATCAAACTGACAGATGGATGATGTTTCCATACTTTAGAACATTCTTTTTCTGTGTAGTAAAACACCAGTATCACCTAAATAGATAGAAGGCAAAGCATTTGGGACTATGAAAAACACCAAACAATTGGAGATGACATACTACAATATTTATTACACAGACATATAGATAAGAAATTAAAATAAGACAGATAAGGAAGCTGGCCTCCAATTATCTTAAGCAGATGCCATATATTGATCATTTCATTTTCAAGTATCATGTTGGTTCAAGACTTCAGTTCCACAGCTGAGGCTTGATGACGACATAGCCTTTCATCTCATAGTTCAGAGCCTTCCAGTCCAAGATGTTAGGGTTGAAAACAGAGCCTTGATATACAGCCAAGATTTCCTCTGCACACAGCAAGGAATCCCACATGTACAAATCCCCAAACTCTCCCATGAAGGATTCAGTGATTTCAAAGCCACCCCCATAATTGTCCTGCTCTTGCCCCAGGACAATCTTGGGGTGAGGCTTTACGGAGTATCCTTGCTGCACACCTTTTCTCACTGAAGGTTTCCCATTGACCCAGAACTCGGCAATGCCTGTAGAAGACTCCCACTTGGCACAGTAATGCACTGGGACAGAGAAGTCTTCAAGAACTTTAAAGGTGGCTCTGACATTTCCAATATACAGGCCAAATAGTTGAGCACCTTCTTTATAAACTAGTAGCTCATTGTTCCCACCCTGAGTGTTGTAGGAGAAGAGGGTGTAGGGTCGGGAGAGGTCACTGTAAGCTCGAAAACACAAGGTAAAGTTCTGCAAAGGTTTCTCCGATTGTGGAATCAAGTCCACATAGTCAGTATAGGATTCTCTGGGGAACACAAACACCTTCCCATCAAGGTCTGTAAGAGAAAAAAGACAATGTAATTCAGAGAAATAAGAAGAATCACAGATTGATCCCTCTTTTGGCATCCCATGCTCTTTGACCAACCCCAGGCCTCCTTACTTGTCTGAACAAAAGCTTCCGTGAGAGTAATGAGGACAGAGAGGCAAAACAACAGCTTGTCCATATCCTTAGTATGGGACTGCTACAGCAGCAGCAGCAGGAGCAGCAGCAGCAATGATTATGATGAGGGTAGCAGCTGGCACAGTGCTTATGTCCGTTCAGCTACTTCCTCAGGTTTTCCAAAGTTTATATGCACAGTTGGGTGAGGGTGGGGCATGGAGAGCACCAGTAATACATGAGTGATTTTTTTTTAAATGCCTGCCCCACTGGTGACAGTAATCACAGCAGCCAAGGTGAAAAATGGGTAAGGTCATGGGCTGGGAAATCAATGAAAGTTATTTATTAAATGACTACATTGCTTGCTGAAACTGAAGAGGACCTGAAGCGCCTGCTGCAGAGGGTCAAGGACTGCAGCCTACAATATGGATTGAGCTTTTACATCAAGAATTAAAAGATTGCCACCACTGAGCTTATTGAAAACATCATGATGGGTGGTGAAGAGATTGAGATTTTACACAGCTTTAGTTTGCTTGGCTCTGTAGTCAACACTCTTGGCACCAGCATCCAGGAAATTAAAAGGCGCATTGCCATGGGAAAGTCTGCTGTTAGGGACCTCTCCAAAGTACTGAAGAGCAATGGTGTCTCTCTGGAGACTAAGGTGCGTCTGATACAGGCCATGGTCTTCGCAATCCCTTGTTATGCATCAGAGAGTTGGACAATGACCAAGGAGGATAGAAGGAGAATTGATGCCTTTGAGCTGTGGTGCTGGAGAAGGCTACTGAATGTACCATGGACTGCCAGGAAAACAAACAGATTTGTCCTGGAAAGGGTTAAACCGGGTAGCTCCTTGGAGGCAAGGATTCTGAGGCTCCGTCTAACCTACTTTGGACATGTTGTGAGGAGAGACCAGTCCTTGGAGAGGGACATCATGCTTGGGAGGGTGGAGGGACAGCACAGGAGAGGAAGGCCCTCTGTGAGGTGGATTGATTCAGTAACTGGGATAATTGGGTTGGGCCTGTCAGAGATAGTGCGATTGGTACAGGGCAGAGCAGAGTTTAGGGCTGTTGTACATAGGGTCGCTATGAGTCGCAAACGACTCGATGGCACATAACAACAAGAAACAACAACAACATTGCTGTTGCTACTAGAGAACCAACATCTGTGACCCAAATACTGGTGTTGGAGTCAAGAGCCAAGAAAAGTGTGGTTCCAGAGCTCAGGATTATGAATGGCATAGAGGATTAGGTAGTCATGTCACAGGGGCCTGGCTCCTTCTCTCTGATGAAGTTGTGCTTTGCCAGGAGGTTTTTTTGCCATAAGGGCAAGCTTTCTGACTCAAGCCTCTCCTGGGATATAGGTGCAAGATATTTTCATTTAATGTTGAGGAAAAAAAGTCTTCTGTATATAGGACATTCTGAAATTCTACTTTCTGCTGAAAATATTAAAACATCTCTTTACATTTGAGGAATTTATTATTGAGTAATAAGTCCTGGTGTTGCTGAAGGGAGAGGGGGAAATGGAGTACATATTTTCTCTATCCTGAAGCTTAGTATTTTTCTGTTACTACCCAACCCTTTTTATCCTTTTGAGTGTCGTATTTCATTATCTTACATTTTCCCATTTCTCATTATGATTTACTTTCCCTGGTGGCTTGCCTACTCATTCTCTTATTTCTTTGTGCTCCTAGTTATTGAAGGTAGATTTACAACCGTCTTTGGTGAGTATCAAATTAATACTTTACACTCATATTTATTTAATTATACCTAGGCATTAAACTCAGTGCTGAGAGTTCATTAACTTTGGTGCAACTCCTGTGACCTCCTTCTACCTTCTGCTACCACTGGGAGTGTCACACTTTAAAGGCAAAGCAGAACAAAGTGATGACTCAAATCTTATGCGCCTTTAAGATGCCAAATTGAAATTTCCCTTTATAATTACCTTCTTTCCTTAAATCTTATTCTTTAAATTTTACAGACTCTTTGTTCTTCCATTTGCCAGTTTCTTTATAGTTTTCTGTTAGTTCACCTCTGCCCTTATTATTAGTCTTTACAGTGACAATAATAGCTGCTAAGATATTGATGTTGTTAACAGCTTTAATTTGCTTGGCTCCACAGTCAACACTCTTGGTACCAGCAGCTAGGAAATCAAGAGACAAATTACATTGAGAAAGTCAGCTTTTCAGGGATCTCTCCAGAGTTCGGAAGAGCCATGACACCAGTCTGTAGACTAAAGTGCACCTGATCTAGGCCATAGTCTTTGCAATTGCTTGCTATGCATCAGAGAGCTCGATAATGACTAGGGATGATAAAAAGAGAATTGATGTTTTGAGGCTGTGGTGCTGGAGAAGAGCATTGAATATACCATGGACTGCCAGGAGAACAAACAGCTTCATCCAAGAGAGGGTAAAGCCAGGCTGCTCGTTACAGGCAAAGACTCTGAGGCTTCATCTGACATACTTTGGGCATGCTGAAAGGAGGAACTGGTCCTTGGAGGGGAACATCATGTTTGGAAGGGTGGAGGGATGTTGAAAGAGAGAGAGAGACTATCGATGAAATAGACTGATACAGTGACTGGGGTAATGAGGTTAGGTGTGTCAGAGATAGTAAAGTTGGCACAGGATAGAGCAGTTTTCAGGGCTGCTGTACATAGGGTCACTGTGAGTTGTAAGAGACTCGATGGCACATAGCAACAACTAACAACAACAAGAATTTTATTTGTTTTCTGTAGTTCAAATTTTCTTTATCCTCCTCAATTCCATGCTCTATTTTTTCTTTTTCTAATTTGTTTCTCAGATTGTAAACTTTATCTCTCTTGCTGGATCAAAAGGGTTAGTATTGGATACGGGTTAGCACATTAAAGAGGTCCTTGACAACAGATTTATCCAGTGCAGTAGATCTTATGATTTCTTGACTGCCGTTTCCATGGGTGTTGATTGCAGACCTAAGGAAAAGGAAATCCTTTATAACTTCAATCATTTTTCCATCTATTATGATGCTGCTTATTAGTCTACTTATGAGGATTTAAAAATTTTTATGTTGAGTTGTGATCCACCCTAAAGGTTGTAGTCTTTTTTATCTTTTTCAGAAAGTATTTCCACTCCTTTTAACTTTCTCAAAGCAAACAATCTGTTCAGTAGGTTGTTGATGTGTCTTCCTCCAAACCTGACCCCACATTCTTCATATAGTTCAGCTTTCAGGTTATTTCCAGATTGAATACTGCTACTACTTATTGCCATTGAGTCTGAACTTACTCATAGCTGACATTCCAGTAAGTTTTCAGAGACTGTAAACTGCCTCTGAAGTGATTTCCCCTCTTTAGATATAGAGAAAGGGTGCCATCCTAATGCCACATTTTCCAATTTTATAAATTCAATATTCCCTTATTCTGTTTGATCAACACCTTGGTTCATAAACAATTAATTGTTCTGAAATTCCCATTTTCTCAATGTTTTCCTAATTTTTTTTGTGATCCACAAGTTGAATGCCTTTAATAGTAAATAAAAGACAAGTAAACATGGTATTCTCTTTTTTTGGCAGAGATAAATATGATATTAGCAATCATATCCTTTGCTCTATGTCCTTTTCTGAATCTATCTTAAATTTCGGCCAGTTCCCTGTTAATGCAGTGTTACAACAGTTTTTAAAATAATCTTCAGCAAGATGTTACTTGCATGTGATATTAATGATATTGTTTGACCATTTCTACATTTTGTTGTATTTTTTTAATGCTTACAAATATTTCATCAGTTGGTCAAGTTACTGCCTTCCAAATTTCTTGACAGAGGTGAGAGAACACTTCCACAGTTGTATCTATTTGCTAAAACACCTCAGTTGATATTCCATAAATTCCAGGAGCCTTTTTTTCTTTGCCAAAGCCTTTACTGCAGTTTTGACTTTCCTTCAGGAAGCTCTAGTGCCCTAGAATAAAAAGTTGTGTTGCTTACCCAAAGGCTACAACTCTCCAGCAGTTCAAATCCACCTGTTACACTGAGGGAAGAAGAGACACAATCTCCTCTTGTGCCATTTACCTCCTTGAAAGTTCAATGGAAGCTCAGCTGTGAATTAGTTCTGATTCCATGGCAACAAGTTTTATGAGTTTCAGTACTGTTGGTTCTTGATCATAGTCTACTTTCTGAAATGGTTCTGTGTCAACTAGTTCTTTCAGGCACAATGACTATTTCTTTCATCTTCTCCATGAATATTGCATCTCAAGGCTCAAATTTGTTCTCTGGTTGTTTCAGCTTGAGAAATTCTGAATGTGTTCTTCCCTCTTAGTTTTCTAATGAAGATTTTGCATGTTTAAAGACTATTACTTTGCTTTATCTTCTCAAGCTGCCTTTTGAAATCTTTTCAGCTCTCTTATTTCATCATTTCTTTCTTTTACTTTTATCTTCTCTAATTTCTGGAGCAAGTTTCAGAGTATTTTGTGACATCAATTTTTGTCTTTCCTGTCTTAGCAATGGCCTCTTGTTTTCTTCATGGATGGTGTCCTTGATGTTGTTATCAGCTGTAATATGGTCAAGGACAACTAATAGCGACCTTATGAACCACAGATCTGAACCCTGTCCTGTCTTTTGCCATCCTCACCATCTCTGGCACCCTCTAGCTTGTTGCTGCAATCACTGTGTCAATCCACCTGTTTGTGGCTCTTTCTTTCCTTCACTATCCCTCTACCCTCTCAAACATGCTGTCTCTCTCCAAAGACTAACCTCTTCTAGCATCCCACATCTTAGCAGGTTTTCTTCAGTCATTAGTGTTAAATAAGTTAAATATATTCTTGATATTTTTTTTAAAAAATATCAAGTTATATATCAATGTTAAATATTAAGTTAAATATCAGTAGATTGTTGAGATAAACTCAAGGTAATGTTTTGACTCTCATGGTCTTGTATTAATTCTATTCTTCAGTTTAAACTTACATGTGAACAATTGATGGCCTGTTTCATAAAGCAGCCCCAGGCATTTCTTTAAAAGCTGATCCTGAGCTTTTCCATCATCTCTTTCTACTGCCTTACAGCTGGCCCTTCAGTTAGTTTTCAAAGATTGCAAATCACATGTAAAGGAA